GGACAGCACCTGCACCCCCAGCGGCAGTACCAGAACCAGCAGCAGCTCCAACGCCCAGGTCCTCAGTACTAGCCTCAGCACCAACGCCCGAGTCCTCAGCACCAGGAGTGGCTCCAACACCAGGGTCCACAGCACCTGCCGCAGCTCCAACGCCCAGGTCCTCAGCACCAGCAGGGACTCCGACACCAGGGTCCACAGCACCAGCCGCAGCTCCAACGCCAGGGTCCGCAGCACCAGCCGCAGCCCCAACGCCCGGGTCCTCTGCACCAGCAGCACCTCCAACCCTCGGGTCCGCAGCACCAGCAGCAGCTCCAACGCCAGGGTCCGCAGCACCAGCAGCAGCTCCAACGCCAGGGTCCGCAGCACCAGCAGCAGCTCCAACGCCCGGGTCCGTAGCACTAGGGGCAGCCGGGTCCGTGAGACGAGGCGCACCACTCCGAAGTGTGCAACGGCGCTCGTACCACTCACGGATCCGCTCACGAGAGGGGAGCTCCCGACTAGGAGGAGAAGTACCAGCCCCAGTCCCTGTAGTGCGCCTGGTCCCAGAGGTAACACTCCGGAGGCTGCAATACTGTAAGTACCACTCACGCAACTGCTCCGAGGAGAGGTCGCGTCCAGGTGTAGCACCCTCAGGCCCAGCACCGCAAGGCTTAGCCGCCCCAGTCACCGCACCCCCAGGCTCAGCACCCCCAGGCTCAGTACCCCCAGTGTCCGCACCCCCAGGCTCAGCACCCCCAGAGTCCGCACCCCCAGGCTCAACACCCCCAGAGTCAGCACCCCCAGGCTCAGCACCCCCAGAGTCAGCACCCCCAGGCTCAGCACCCCCAGTCTCCGCACCCCCAGGCTCAGCACCCCCAGCAGGACGAGAGTCGACAGCAACCTCAACAGGGTCGACCGGGTCTACCTGAGACACACCTGAGGGAGCGGCACCCTAAAGGGGGAGGGGGTCTACGACAACAGCACCTGGCGCGAGGAAGAGAGGCGGGGGGAGGAGCGGGGCAGTGCGGTAGGGAAAGAGGCGGTAGTAGGGGACAGACTCGTCAAAAGTGACGTCCTGAGAGGGCAAGACCCGGCGCGAGGTGGCATGGTAAAACTGCCAACCAGGCGCGTCCGGAACTAAGCCGAGGAAGACGCAGGGAACAGCACGAGAGGAGAGCTTGTCCGCAGACGAATCGCGGACAAAAGCTCGAGATCCCCAGACCCGGAAACGCGACGCATCGCCAACCTCCCCTGTCCACAGCAGTGTGGGCGAGGTCTCCGGCAAGGAGACACGGGGCCAGAGGTTGAGCTGATGCGCAGCGTACCGGACCGCAAACGGCCACAAAAAGTGGGGGGCAGCCGCATGGATCAAGGAGGTACGAGCGACCTCCATGACCAGGCCAATGCGGCCCTCCGCAACCCCATTCTGCTGTGGAGAGGCCGGAAGCGTGAACGACTGCTCAATGCCGTGCTCAGCACAGTAGGCTGCCAAGAGGTCGGAGGAGAACTCACCACCTCTCTCAGAGTGCAAGCGCAGGACAGGAAAGTCCGAGCGGAAACGCTCGCTGAGCTGGAGACGAGCTCTGCGGATCCAAGGGATCAAAACATCAGGGACCTCACCCTTGGCTCGCAAGGGGAAGACCGTGGTGTAGCGCGAGTAGTCGTCAACAACGATCAGGAAGTACCTCTCCTGACCCTGACCACGGACGCGGGCTGGGCCCCACACGTCCATGTGGAGCGTCTGCAAAGGAGCAGTCGTCGGGGGAAACGAGGAGGAGTGAGGAGCGGCGCGCTGCCGCCCCTCGACACAGGGAAGACAGGGAGGAGCAGGTGAGGGTGGGAGGGGAGGGAGGACCCTGGGAAGACCAGAGACAAGGTACCGGGAGTGCATGGCAGGAAGGCGCTGCACAGACGGGTGGCCCAGTCGGTGGTGCCAGAGGACAGTCTCGTGCGCTAGAGAGCGACACGAGCAAGGGGCGGACAGCTGACCTGACGCGGACGCAGACGCAGCTACTTGAGGGGGGGCAGTAGTCAGTGTGTACAGATCCGACCCCGGCTGCCGGGTGAAGGTAGCCAAGTGGCGGCCTGTACGGGCACACGTGCAGTGTGTGACACGCTCGTAGGCAGGGGTGAACTGGTGAACACCCGCGTCCTGTAGTGCACAACCTGCCACCAAGTTCGTAGAGAACGAGGGGAGGTGGAGACCTGACAGTGTGCCCGACGGGACCGCAGGACAGGGAAGGACAGTGGAGGAGGTCGCAAGGACCGGACCCCCAGAGGGGTCAGCGAGGGAGACAGCATCTGGCCGAGCAAGGGGCTCAAGGGCAGTGCGGTCACGAAAGAAACAGCGAGAGGCACCTGAATCCAGTGTGAAGGTGTGCAGTGCTGCAGTCGACACAGTACTAGGGGGGGCAGACGTACACGCACCTAGCGCAGCAGCCTCACCAGCACCTGGGGTAGCGGACACGCGAGTACCTGGAGTGGCAGACGCACTAGTCCTAATGCCCGGGTCGGGCGGGACACTCAGGTACTCAGCACCCTCTCCACTAGTAGACATCACATACATGGCAGTGAGAATAGCATCAAAGTCTAGAGCATAAATATCAATCCCCTTCTTCAGGAGATCAACCCAGCGGGGCAGCTCACTGGCCTGAGGGAACTGAACACGCCAAGCGTCGTTCAGACGAGCGAAGCAACGCTGTGTGGCGTGCGGTCCCCCACACGGCTGGCCAGTGCGGTCACCAGTGCGAATGACGTACGTGCAGCTAAGGCCACCCCCCCCCCCCGTGCTGAGAGTACCACTCACGGACCTCCTGGGGCGACGGAGTGTGCTGCTGGCCCTGGCCACCGCCAGTGCCTCCACGACCACCACCGCCGCTACCACCTCCTCGACCACCCCAACCCCGGCCGCTGCCTCGTCCACCGCCACCCCCACCACCTCCTCCGCCCCGGCCACCTCCCCCGCCGCTGCCGCCACCCCCCCCACTGCTGCCACCTCCCCCACCCGCGCCATCCCCCCCGCCACCACCACCTCCCCCACCACCGCCACCCCCGCTTTCACCACCACCGCCCTTGCCCCCCTTGCCCTTGCCGCTGCGGCGCCCACTCAAAGCAGACGCAGTCCCGACCTTCTCAACACCAAGGAGGTCGACAGCAGCAGCAGAGGCGACAGAGGGAAGAAGGGGGGAGGGAGAACACCCCTCAAAGAACGGGGTACGGGGGTCACCGCGAGAGGCACCTACAGCGACTATGCTAGCCTCAGCTGCAAGCAGTTCCTTCTCGAGGAGGGCAATGGTGAGCTCGGTGGGGCAGCGAGCTAGGAAGTGGTCCCTGACTGAGCGCAAAGTGTTAGGGAGGCGCGTGACTAGGTGGTAGAGAGTGAGCCAGAGCGGGGGTGGGTTCTTGGCAAGGAACTCATCAGGCATAGCGGCGCGGAAGCGAGCCTCACTAGTGCGGAGGTGGGTAATGAGATCAGCGACAGTGTGGAAGGAAGCTAGGTCGGGGAACAGGTAGGGAAGAGAGAGACGGCCTAGAGCGGCAGAGGCCGGCGAGGAGTAGCGGGCAACGACAGCAGTGTATAGTGCCTGTGCAGTCTTGTGCTGCCCAAAGTGCTCGCGCTCATCTATCGGCAGAGAGTTGCGAATAGCGAAGCGAGTATGGGCGTCACGAGTCTGCCACTGTGAGCGGGCAGTGCTGTCAGCAGTAGCAGCAGGAGCAATAGCAGCAGGAGCAGTAGCGTGGCCTAAGGCATGATCGTACAGCGAGATGTCTTCCTTGGCAGTGAGCTGTAGGAAGAGGTGTAGGTCATCAAGCCAGGTGTCGAACTTCACTGGGCGGCCCTCAGTATCGAAGGCTAGGACAGGTGGGCTAGCCATGGTAGCAGTAGTAGGAAAAGAAGTAGGAGCAGTAGGGTAGGTAGGGCGGCGCGGCTCGGTACAGGTAGGGCGGCGCGGCTCGGTATAGGTAGGGCGGCGCGGCTCAGGTCGGGCGGCGCGGCTCGGTTCGGGCGGCTCGGGTCGGGCGGCGCGGCTCGGTTCTGGCGGCTCGGTTCGGGCGGCTCGGGTCGGTTAGGGCTGGCGGCTCGGGTCGGGCGGCTCGGTTCCGTTAGGGCTGGGCGGCTCGGGTCGGCTCGGTTCGGGCTGCTCGGTCTGGGTGAGGCCGTTTGGGGCCGCTAAGGGCGAGCGCGGGGAGCGGGTGGGGCCGTGAGGGACGAGCGCGGGGCCGACGTGGGTGCTAAGGGCGAGCGCGGGGCCGACGTGGGTGCTAAGGGCGAGCGCGGGGCCTATCGGGGCCGTGAGGGACGAGCGCGGGGCCGATCGGGGCCGTAAGGGACGAGCGCGGGGCCGACGTGGCCGTGAGGGACGAGCGCGGGGCCGATCGGGGCCGGTAAGGACGAGCGCGGGGCCGACACGGGCCTCTAGGGGTAAGCGCGGGGCCGATTCGGGGCCTCTAATAGCGAGCGCGGGGCCGACCGAGGCCTCTAGGTGCGAGAGCGCGGGGCCGACGGGGCCTCTAGGGGCGTGAAAGCCGAGGCGCCCTAGGGCGCAGGTAGGTAGGTAGGTAGTGGTGGGCCCTAAAAAATCGGTCATAGGAAGGACCTGCTCTATACCATGTTGAACAAGAATGAATGAACTAAGAGTGAAATGAGTACAAGTGTGAAAAACTAGGAATGTGTACCCCCTATAGGCTAACCCACTGTAGCCTAAACAACTACAACAACATATATAATGTTTGACACTTCGTGCACTCTGCAAACGGTACACGCGCAACGGAAACATGGGATGGTTAGACACTGGGTGAGGGACATGCATTCAATAGCCCGCACGCGACACGAATTCCTTCAACACGCACCTGCCGACAGTCGTTGGCCGACCTTGGTCTTCACCCGCATCACCAGTTTCCAGCGGTCACGGAAACGCTGGCTCCAGTGAGAGCTCGCGTTCCTGTTCTTGCTGGCGTGATGCTTCTTCATCCACTCGCGGCTCCACTTCTGGGTGTCCTTCACCGAGATGGCCACCCCGTTAGCGCGCTGAAGGCAGATGTAGCGGTACAACGCTGCCTCCATGTCGGGGTAGTGTGAGTGGCGCCCCCCCCCCCCCGTGCATCCGCTTGCGGCAGTTAGCCGCGCCCTTGTGGACGCCCGCAGCCGCCTTCGCACTCCAGCGTCTGATGCAGGCGATGGACGCGGTTGACTCCACACTCGTCTTCTTCAAGGAGCCGAGCTCCAGATAGCGGCGCGCCCACTTAACCTTCTCACGCACGGTCCAGCTGCGGCGCTTTCTCGTAGTGTCCTTGCTGCGAGGGGAAGGTGGGCGGGTGTTGGGATTATGGAGGGTGGGGTCCTTCGGCGTGACCTTCTCAGGGAACGTGGGAATCGGGCCCGCAGCTGCCGCGTACTCATCGTCGCTGCCCAGAGTCTCGTTCACGACGATGTCGTCAGGATTCGGCGCCTTCTTCTTAGCCGCACCCTTGCTAGATCCCGGGTCTCCGTCGGATATCCGCTTCTTGTTGCTTGTGCGGCGACGAGCAGGGGCCTTAGCAGGGGCTTCTGCGACCTTGGCTTTTCCCTTCTCCGCAGCGGTGAGTTTCGGGCGACGCTCCTCCCCCGGACTGTCGTCGTCAGAGAGCACCACGCGGGCCCGCTTCGACTTGGACTGTAGGCGATGGCGCAGCCTCCGCTTCAGTAGCGGAACGTCGTCGTCTGTCCCAAGCCTACATGGGTCGTCGTCGCCGCTTTCACCGTCAAATAAGACGGCATCCGCAGCAACCGTGTCCGACTCTGCCACAGCATCCGCATCCGCAACTGCGGCCGCGCCGTCTTTAGCCTCCTCATTCGCATCCATCGCCGCTTCCTGTGCATCCGCCGCTGCCTCCGCGTTGTCACCATTCACATTTTCACCTCCGTCGTTGTCCGAATCTCCAGCCCGCCACTCTTCCACCTCGTCGTCGCTCCCGACCGGCCGATTCCACCATTCGTCCTCCTCGATGTCGGCAGGACCTAATTCGTCGCCCGAAGTGCTGTCGTCGTGGCCGTTCTCCGGCCAATCCTCCTCGGCGTCGTCGGCGTTCGCTTCTTCTCCGTCGTCCCCGTCACAGCTCGCACCGGAGACCGCGGTATGACTTCCCGCCTTGCTCGCACTCTTCGCCATGGCTACACGGATGTCATTGCCGGGCGAGTTAATTCGCCCGTATTTATTCACCTGCACGTGAGGACGAGGAGAGGACGAGCCTGGGGGTACTTTGCTGCGCATGGTTAGAAAGCCTGCCGAGAGCAAGGTTGAGACGAGTATTCCTAAACCCTTGAGCACCAAATGAAGTGAGAGGCCGACTACCCCCCCCAGCCAGAGTGCCCCATCCACAGGTGCCGAGCCGCTCCTCTACGAGGCATCTCCTCGTAGAGGACAGCCCTCATGCTGCCAACGTGCTGCCAGCAGCGTTCTGGAAGCATCTCTGCGCTGCTGGCAGCAAAACGATGCTGGCAGCATCTAATGATGCTGCCAGCACAGAGGAATATTGCCAGCGGTGGCAGCTCCCTCACGTGGCAAGTGTGGGCGCTGCATGCATCACCACCGAGGTCGGCCTGTTTCAATGAATCTGGTCTCTGGGTGTTTTCTACACACTTTGCAAGTGTTACAGTCAACTTAAACTTTTTTCCATTTATAAGACTTATAAGACACCCTAAACCATCCCGTTTACAAGATAACTCAAGCATTTTTGCCCGTGTACGAGATAAGACATATATGTCTTATATCCGGGCGATGACGGTATTACTTCACCTCAAAACACCAGCCAAGTAAGAGTACACTAAATCGGACCATGAATCCGGTACACCCGGCACGCACCAATGCGAGCAGTCAGGGCGATCATTGCCTGTGAATTGGCCTTGATGGGCGTCTGGGCGGGCAAGGGAGGACCTTGCAATGTCCACTATCTTGAATTGTGGATAGGAGCTGAATGCCTGGAGAGAACAGCAACGAAGGGATAGGGCAGAGAAATAGGGTTGCGGGAGTGTAGGTGGAGGGTTAGGGAGATTTGAGAGAGCGAAGGGTGAAATTGACGGGAGAGTAAGAGGAGAGGGAGAGATGGAGACGCATGTATGTTTGCAAGAAGCAACCGTAGCAAAGTGGGGATCGAGAAGTGGGGGAGGAGATGGAGTGGGGACAGGAATGAGTAGGCATTTTGCTCTCCTTTTCCCACCCTCTTCCCCCACTCCCCTCTGTTCAGCACCCAGCCCAAGCGCACCTTCACTTCAGCATTCCTTGCTTGCAGTGTGTCTGTGTTCCTCTCCACCCTCGTCATCCTCGTCCCACTCATCATTCACTCCCCGTCCCCCCTCCACCACTTCCCTCCTTGAGTACAGAAAGTTTGCTCGATGCACACCTTCACTTGTGCATCTCGGTGCAAACATTATCATCCTCTGTGCATCAAAGTATTTGCTCAATGCACACCTTCACTTGTGCATCTCGTGCATCAGAAGTGTCTCTGTGTGTGCTCCTCCTGCCCACATTTTTGAGTCAACTCAATAGTCAATACAAACCTTCACTTGTGCATGTCGTGCTTCAAGTGTCTCTGTGCTCCTCCTGCCCACATCATCCTTGTCCCGTTCATCCACCCCCGTCACCCCCTCCACTTCCCCATTACCATGAGGCATACAGAAAGATTCAATACACACCTTCAATTGAGCATCTCTTGCTTGCAGTGTCTTGGGTGTTCCTCTCCGCCCACAGCATCCGCGTCCCGACCAACACCCCCCCCCCCCCCCTCAATTTCACGCAGGAAAAGAAGAGGGTATGTGCTTGCACCCAGCCCAAACGCACCTTCACTTGAGCATCTCTCGCTTGCAGCCTCGTCCCATTCATCACAACATTATTCTTCCTCTCCCCCCCCTCCCCACCCCCCAATTCGGCACCCAGCCCAAACGCACCTTCACTTGTGCGTCTCTTGCTTGCAGTGTCTCCGTATTCCTCTCTGCCCACAGCATCCTCGTGCCGTTCATCACCTGCCCCCGCATGTCCATGCAGCTCTTGGCTGCATCCCCGCTAGAGAACGCGTTGTTATAGTGATAAGCCGAGAAGGTCATCACCATGGGGAGCCCTGAGTACCGGCTGTTAACTAAGAACTTTCGGATGGTTAAGTGTGCGTCGTAGAGGGGAGCGTAGGGGCGTGGGAACGGGGGGAGTTGCTGGTTTTTGCGGTAGTAGAGTCGGAGATTTGAAGGCGCCTGGAAAAGGGAGGGCAACCGCAGGGGGTGTAGAAGGCATACAAGGAAAAAACGCCATAAGAAATCGACATTCTGTATGCACACTACATAACCCTAACCCGTAACGAAAAAAAGGAGAAAGACAGTGCAGCTGTTATTGACGTGCTTACGTTCATAACCCAGTGACCAGCAGTGAATATAACAATATACATGTCTAAACATATGTATACATACATCTACGTGGGTGTACAAACACACTGAAGTCCCCTTACGTTGATAAACCAGTGACCAGCGCTGAAGATAACGTAGTGGGTGTGGGGCAGCAGCTTGAACCAGCTCGGATCAGGCCTGTCCAAGTGCACCCTCCACGCGCCTGCACTGGACGCAACGCCCTAGGGGGGGGGGGGAATGACAGAGAAGGGAATGTGGGATAGTAAGTTGTAAGGCATGGATTTCAGGCCTGGGGGGTATGCAGCTCGGATCAGGCCTGTCCAGATGCACCCTCCATGCACCTGCACTGGACGCCCACGCCCTGGGGGAGAGGGGGGGAAGAAACGGGGGGAAGGGACGTGAGAGGGAAGGAGGGAGGGAGCTTGACTGGGAAAGGGGTAAGGAACGCGGTAAGGCACGGGAACAAGGCATGGTGGGTATGATGCTCGAAATAGGCCTGCGCAAATGCAACCTCTACACGACTGTATGAAATTAAAGTCCCTAGGCTAAGCACTAAGATGTAGTTACCACAGGTAGGAGCCTTAGCTTGACGTATTCAGAAGCACTCACCACAGGGCTGGACCGGACAAGGAAGTTGGAGGGCATGCGGAGGAAAGAGATGTTGTACTGGGGGATGATAAAGCCGCGAGTTCGAATCCCCGTGCGTCCAAACTTGCCCCTGAAGTCCTGGCGGAAGATGATGGTGATGGCAGGGGAAGAGGGGACGTGATGGGTGGATATGGGGGTAGGGGGGATGTGAGAGGGATGAGAAGCTCCGGGAGAGCAAACTCGCGTTCCAAGTTGTGAAGGACGATAAGATGCAAGAGCCTTCACGTCCAAGTCTATCTTGTTTTGAGTCGACTCAAAAGAGCCTCCAATTGCAACTCTATGAGGTTGGGAGAGGATCAACAAGTGTCATCTCCTTTCTGGACGAAGGAGGGTTTTCGCAGTGGAGTGCAGCTCTCTTCTTTAGCTACGTGATAAAAGTAATGTTTTGAGACGTCTAAAAAGAGAACAACTCTCTTGTTTACCTCGCAGCGAACGGAGGGAGAAGGGGGTTCAGGACAGGAATACAATACACCAGAGGGGGAAGGAGAAGGTCTGAGAGCTTGGGCTGGGTGGCGTGACAAACCGGCGTAGTGGGCGTGGTTCGAGCACTCTCAGAACATACCTTAGTAACCGCTTTAGTCTCTAGCAGGCAGCGCATGGAGATCTCGAGGTTGTTAACGAACGAGTCGCCAACAAACATGAACACCTTATTGCGCAAAATGGAGAGCGTTCTAACGGGGTTGAATCTGAGAAAGACGTTGCAGAGGCGGAGGAAGAGGGGAAGAACAGGGGCAGATATGACGGGAGATGGTGGGAGAGAGGTATACGATTCGGATAACCAGAAATCTTGTTGCCATTTGCGCTGACAAGAGTACTACTTGCCGGCAGCAACACAGTATCCTTTCAATATATAGCCCCTTGACAATTGTCACCTTCTTATATCACATCCAGGACTCCTCCACACGTATTTCAGGTACCCAGTGTCCTTCCTCCTGTTGCGCTGGCAATTGAACGTATACACACAAATGGTCTTGCACGTATACCCGTTATAAGCAGCACAGTGGAACCCTAGACGACCCTCACCTTCTTATATCGCAGCCAGGGCTCCTCCACACGTATTTCAGGTACCCAGTGTCCTTCCTCCCGTTGCGCTGGCAGTTGTAATACGAACGGATACTCTTGCACGTGAACCCGTTATAAGCAGGCTCGTACACCCTGTCGTACACCCAGCTGCGGAGATTAGCAGACGAGCGGGCAGGGAGGTGCGAAGGTGAGGTCAGGTGAACAGTCAGATGAAGGTTTGATTCATGTGTCAGGTGAAGTCAAAGGAACGAGGAAACGAATGTAGAGAGGGGAAGAAGGAGGAGGGGAAGGGGGATCTGGCAGGACACGGCAAAAAGAAAGTTAGGGAATCGGGAGCGCGGGAGGGATGGAGGGAGGGAGAAAGGGAGGAAGAAAAAGGAGAGAGGAAAGGTGTGAGTCTGAGTGCGTGCGTGCGTGTGTGTGTGTGTGTGTGTGTGCTCTCTCTCTCTCTCTCTCTCTCTCTCTCTCTCTCTCTCTCTCTCTCTCTCTCTCTCTCTCTCTCTCTCTCTCTCTCTCTCTCTCTCTCTCTCTCTCTCTCTCTCTCTCTCTCTCTCTCTCTCTCTCTCTCTCTCTCTCTCTCTCTCTCTCTCTCTCTCTCTCTCTCTCTCTCTCTCTCTCTCTCTCTCTCTCTCTCTCTCTCTCTCTCTCTCTCTCTCTCTCTCTCTCTCTCTCTCTCTCTCTCTCATTTACTGAGGTAATTCTTCATTATTTATTTGATAAATTGCATTCATGAGGTTGAGTGCGTAGTGAGGCTGACCTTCCTTGGTCGACTCTACATTGCTGACACGTAGCAGGAACCGATTGGCCGAGAAGGAGCAGCAGTGACATCAATAACCCGCTCAAGAGCGCGACAGGCAATCTCGAAATAGCAGTAAAAAGCGCCCCCTCCTCATGGCGTATGTGCTTATGTGCCATGGCTTCTAATGGAAGGCAGCGTCCTCCGCTTCTGCTTTTCCTAAACCAGACTGCTGAATCCTGACCCGACAGCCGAGCTCGTTTAAATCGGCGCTTATCAGCCAACTCGGACCTGGAAGTGCCGGAAGCCCTATTTCAGCTGGTCGCGTAGAACGTCGAATCAGCAGCTATTTACATATGATTGCCAGGTTAGCAATCAATCGACGCTTTTTTTCTGGATAGCGTTTATATTTGGCTCAGTAGTCACCTACTAATTCGGCTGACGTTTCACAGCGTTCCGACGGTGCTGTCGCTACGCACTTTCCGATGCTTTAGCTAAGCACCGCCGGTGCTCTTGCTAGAACGAATGTCGTGAAAGGAGTAGGACGTGCCTAAGTGGGAAGAGACGAACATTGAATTCCTTCTTTAGGCTTATGAATGTTGTCAGTACCTGTACCCCTTCTTAGAACCTGTTGTTGATCCCCATGCCGCCTAACGTGATCAGAAAAAAGCCATCGAATAGACTTGTGCACTTGAAGTTACGCATTCTGGCGAATTCTCTAGGGGACATGAACAATGTCGGTGCTGAGGACTGCTTGCGAGTTGTGTGAATTCTGATTTTGAGCTTCGCTTGAATCCGTCCGTGATCCCTTTTCGCGGGTCTTTCAACGGTCAGTTTCGCGACGCGGGGCCACAAATTGTACGGCATCTGAGAGGGGGCGTCTCGGCGAAGTTTAGCGCTATCGCAAAATATCTGAAGCTGACTTTCGCTACGGGCGAGTTCCGAAAAAACAATGGTGGGGCAACAGCTCATATGTTACCACCAATCACGTTGGTACGCTGACATTCTCGAAGGGCAATGGCACGGCGAGGACGTGGGGTTTCTTTGGGGATACTGGAGTTACAACGCGTACGGCTTTGCCTAGGGCTATACACTGTTCAACGAAGCTAGGCTTATACAAAATGTCGGAATTTAGATTTGTACAAGTGGTACAACATTGAACGAGCCACCAATGCAAAACAGAACATTAGATGCAATGTACAGGAAAAGCAGCAGGCCATCGTGTTCGCGCTACTCTTCTTTAAACTCCTCGGCATCCCACTTCAGGTTCCAAGAAGCAGACTTCACCATCTGCTGCGTCCCTTCCATCTGCTTCAACTCTCGTCCACTCAAAACCGGGCCAACACCCACCGGCTCAACCGACTTACCCATTTCGCCACGATTTCCCGGACTTCCAAGACTATATGACCTCCCCTTGAGTGCCTTGGTTGCCTGTTCAATGCTCCCTTGCGTGTCCCTCATTTCCTCCCTCTCCGCAGCAGTAAACACCCCCTCAACTTGCTCCTCCCTCTCCTTCCGCCCCCTTCCCTCCACCTGTTCCTTCCTCTCAGTCTTCCCCCCTTTCTGCTCTCCCTTCGTCTTAAACTGCGGCTGACGCCTTAGTCCCATCCGTCTCGCCCGTTCCCGAAGCTTCTCAGCAGCTTCGGCAGCAGGGGAGGGAGGAGCAGCAGAGAGATCATGGCGAGGGGGGGTACGGGCAGCAGAGGCAGAAGCACCACCATTGGGAGCAGCAGAGACAGCGGCTGGCGCAGGAGGGGAGAAGAAAGGGAGTTTCAGCCTTGGCCTTGCAGGCCTTTTCCTCTCAGCAGAACTCTCATGCTGGGGTGGTGAGAGCGGCGGAGGTGACACAAGGGAAGGTGAGACTGGGGAAGGTGGAGGGCTGTGTGGCAGCTCTCCCGCCTTCCCTCGCTCTCCACCTATCCTCCTGGGCGGCGATAAGAGTATCTCCGCCTCTTCCTCCACACCTCCTTCCCCCTCCCCCTCTTTCACTCCCACCTTCCCTCCCTTCCCCTTTCCCTTTTCCTCCCTCTCCCCCCCCACTCCCCCCTTCCCCTTCCCCACCACAGGAGCTGGGCCTGAAATCAAAACCCCCTTTGCCTTCGCCTCGGGCTGCCTCTCCACCTCACCCCAATCCGGTGCAATCATCTTCAGACCCTCCTGCCTCTTCTCCCTCCTCTGCCTCTCCTCCTCCTCCTTCTCCCCCTCAATTTTCTGTGCTTCTGTCCCTTCTCCTCTCCCTCTTCCTCCCGCTTCTCCAATTTCTTCTCCAGCCTCCTTATCAGCATTCAAGGATCCAATCCCAAGGCGATGCAGCTCATGCTCCACAGGGGCTTCCTCCCCCATGTGCTTGTATCGAATGGAGGCGTCAATGTGACTGCTGCAAGGGAAGGGGCCTGGAGCTAGATTCAACGGATTGTGTGCTGCAGCAGTGACAGCAGCATCAGCAGCAGCAGCATCACCAGCAGAAGCAGCAGGTGGATGTGGGAGAGGGTGGGAGAGCATTGCAGCCTCCCTCATCCCCGTTAGAGGCTGCTCCGTTACAGGCACAGCAGGCACCTCGTGGTGCAGCAGCAGAGTGTCGCTAGGGAGGCTGGCAGTGCGCTTGGGAGGCACACGGCTGAGAGGAGAGGGAGGGGCGTCCACTGGAGGGCCTGATAGGAGGGCATGGCATGGGCAAAAAGGGACATGAAAGAGTAAGAAAACGAGGAGACCAGCAAAAGAGGAGTCGCTGAGACACTAACAGCGCAGTTCGGCGGCGGAAGAGGAGTAGCGTCCACTGGAGGGCATTGAAGCTCACCCGGGGATGCACGCGCATCGGTCTGCTTCTCCCGCTGCTCCCGCTGGGGCCACAGCACGCTCCTCAACGCATCCTTCATGCGCCTCAGCGTCACCACTCCCGTTGAGCCTTCCGCGTTCTGTGCCCTCTCCACCACCTCCGCCTTACCAGCTCACCTGGTGCACGAATACGTGTCAGCTGCTCCCGCTGGGGCCACAGCACGCTCCTCAGCGCATCCTTCATGCGCCTCAGCGTCATGACTCCCGCCGAACCTTCCGCCTTCTCCGCCCTCTCCGCCTTACCAGCCATCCCAGCCCTCCCCTCCTGCCCTCGCACCACTCCCCGCCCTTCCCCTGCTTCCCTCCCTGATTCCCCACTTCCTCCGCCTTCCTTGACTCCCTCCCTTCCCACGATTTTGCCCTTAGTAGCGATTGCCTCACTCTTCTCCCCCTCCTCTCCCTCCTCTCTCTCTTCACTCTCCTCACTCCCCTCACTCTCAGCAGATAAGCCCCGCTCCTCCTTCCTCACAACTTCACTAGGCGGTTGCACCTCCACTTCCGCCTTCCCTCCCCTCTCTCCCGCGCTAATCCTCTCCCCCTCCGCCCTCTTCTCTCCCGCTGCCGCCCTTCCGCCTCTCTTCTCTAGTCCAAGATCGACGGCCGTCAGCGGCTTGCCGACATCAATGGCACGGATTTCCTCACCCGTCGCCCCTCCAACAACCCCCCTCCCCTCCCGCGACGCAACCTCGCGCCCCGTTTGAGGCTCCTCTACAGTTTTCCCCGACTCGATCTCAAACTCACGTTCCTTCCCCGACTGACTATCCCGCCCTCTCCTCCTGAACAAGGACCGGGGAAGCATCAATCCACTGCCATACCTCCGTTTGCTAGAAGTGGGGGCTTTAGACGAGAGAACCCCTCCCTCCCCCTCGGACCTCTTGTCTTCCTGTGTTCTTGCATCGGGGCTGTCACCAGTCGGGTCCGTGGCCTTACCACCAGCAGCACTTGCAACAGATTCCGGAGCCGCTATAGAGTCCTTAATTTTAGCAGACGATTCCGCCGAATCGACGGCAGGATGATGCTCTGACGATCTCCACGGGTCCTTGATTTTAGCAGACGATTCCGACGCGGGGCGGTTGGACGAATCGCCGTGAGGTGCCACACGTGGCGCCTCAGGTGGTCCTTCAGGTGGTTTCCCAGGTGTTTCTGCCGCGGAAGCCATAGGGTCAGGCCACAGATACTCCTTGGGCGTCATGGGCACGCCCGCCTTAAAGAAGATCTGCCGCAGCTCGCGAGGGCTATCTGGCGGGGACTTTTGCGCTGCAACCGACTCAGAATCCATCCACACCGTACTAAACCAATTGCATCAGTGCTACTAACTGCTTACTGTTGAGGATCAGTGACTTTCAACTTGCTACTAAGGGGCGATAGCCGGTCAATTAACCAGCCAGCCAACCTTCCGAGTGAAAACCTTGAGATGAGCACGCTAAGCCCGTACGTAAGGCGGCTTCGTGCCGTGCGCTATGGCCAAGAGAAACAGCTTCAAGGCGCCCCCACTGATCCTTTTCAGCAATGAGAGAGAGAACGCTGTCCCGCGTTGTGGCAGCTGCTGCCATAAACTGAGCGCACCGCGCCTGTGTGGTGAGTGAGATGCAGCCGCGAGAGAATGATAGCCCGTGAGTCGCTGGCGAGGGCATTCCGCCTGGGATGAAAAGTGAGCGCGCAAAGGTGCCGCTGCCACCCAGCAGTAAAATGTGCGACGATCGTGTTGGGGTGGAGGGTATGACCCGATCGTGCGGTTCCGAATCGACGAGCGGTACTCAGCGTTGTCAGCCATCGCGTCAAGGTGCATTCGTGCGCGCCCATGCCGAGTTCTGCGACGCAATTTCGGTTCGGAGTTGATTAGCTGCGTGAACAGCAGCCGCGAAAACACAGAAACCCAGTTGGTGAGATTGCACGGTGCGTTCGTGCGTGCATGCCGAGTTTTACGAGGTGAAAGTCGGATAAACTCGACACACTTCCATTACTACCGTAGCAAGCAACCAAGCCAGGTTTCTGACGTACACTTATCGTCAAATCAAAGCACACTCGTTGCCAGCTCAACACAGATTTGGCCTGAAATTGAACTAGTCGGGCGAGCCGCATGCATTTGAACTAATATTGATGTCACCGAGGCGCATCTCTCAATTCCGCAAATGTTGCACCGCATTTCGTCGTTGCCAAATCGGACACGTGTTGCACAGACCGCAGTTACCGTTTGAGTCTCTCTGGCTGTAGTACCCGCTACTGTAATCCCTGTTTTGCTAACTACCCTCGAAACAATACGTCTGAGGCAACGAGATCAATTAGTATCACTTGCAATATACATGGTGGGATAAGGACTCGAAGTCTGGACTGAAAGCCAAAGGCGTTAAAGTGTAACTCGAATCAATAAAACCTCTTCTGGACTCTTAAAAAAAAACCTTCAATGACCACCAGCACCATGTGATGCTTCTTGTGGTTCCTCCAGTACTCCCAATATCCGACGGGTTGCCTCCGCTCTGAAATGCACAGAAACGAGGGTTCAAAATGTTAGGCCGTGACAAACCACATGCACTTGTTGGTAGAGACACTCGTTCCACAGTCAGTCACTTATGAAGCGTGTAACCATACATATCGTGGTAATACCCACATCTCGACACCTCACCAACACAGAGCAGTAACAATTCATGTGCTTTCAGGAAGCCCTCAGCTTCCCTGCAGAGCTAGCATTCCTTACCAGACTTCTAAAGCACACAAGGAACATCCATAGAAGAGGGGACGAGACATAATAATGTAGCCCCACACACATTATACATCCGCAAAAGATAGTGATACCATACCCACACATGGATGTAGCACATCCACATGCCACGTAGGTAGATACCAACATTCAGGGTAAGCCACTTACACCCAACAACCAGAACTCTCCACTCACTGGCATGTGTCACCAGCTTCCTCCCCCGGACCTACCACCGCTTGCCGGACTTGCCTCACACATGGTACTTTCGTGCGGTTGAGGCAAACCACCTCAAATGTACCAGTTTCTTCCACAGCGCAAGCAATTATCCAACTCACTGGCACGTGGCGCGGATAGCCGATGCCTCCAGCACGCCCACCAGCTTCCCGTGGTCTTCCCACTGCTTGCCAGACTGTGACACCACAACAACATACTCTCGACAACTAGTCCATGCTATCACGTGCAACATCCATAGAGCAAGCATTACTCCAACTCACTGGCATGTGGCGCGGATAGCCGATGCCTCCAGCATGCCAACGAGCTTCCTCCCCCGGTCCTGCCACCGCTTGCCAGACCGAGACACCACTGTGCTAGGACACATGGAAGAACTATCAGCAACTAACTCACTGGCATGTGGCACGGATTGCTGAAGCTTCCAGGACTCCAACCAGCTTCCTCCCCCGGTCCTGCCACCGCTTGCCGGACCGAGACACCACAGGCAGCACCGTCAGGTTCCTCGGCAGCATTAGGTGGCGGGCGGCGCGCAGCGTCTGGTCTGGGAAGCACACAACAAGGTCGGGGTCCCCGTGGGCTGTGGTACTGGTGCAGACCGCTCCCACCAGCATCTCGTGCACCTGGGGGTGATAATCAGGGTGAACGAGGGTTGAAGAAGGGGCAAAAGAGTGTGTAGAGGGTAGGCAGGACAGGCATAACAGCCAATGCCTCCGTGGGCTGTGGTGCCCGTGCACACCGCTCCCACCAGCATCTCATGCACCTGGGGGTGAAAGAGGGGGAAAAGGGAAGGAGGGACGGATGAAACGGGGGTGAAAGGGTGGTGAAAGGGGTGAAAGCGAGGAAACGGGGGGCAGGGAAACACAAAAGATAAACTGCCCACAAGAAACAAAGTAACACAGCACATGTACACAATAATCGTGCACACACAGAAGCAAAAACGGAGCACAAATGCAACAAGCGAGGGCAGAAGCAACAAGGGAGGGCAGAAGCAACAAGGGAGGGCAGAAGCAACAAGTGAGGGCAGAAGCAACAAGTGAGGGCAGAAGCAACAAGTGAGGGCAGAAGCAACAAGTGAGGGCAGAAGCAACAAGTGAGGGCAGCTCACCTCCACGCCTACAGGAGCCAGTTCAGAGGCAGCGACCGAAGCTCTGTGTGACAATGCCCTGTCCAACCCTCCCACCCCTCCCATTCCTCCCACTCCTCCCACTGGCATAAGCCCTACCGACACCGCCGATCCTCTATGACTCCCCCCTCCTCCCCCTCCCCCTCCTCCCGAACCACCACCCACTCCACCCGCAACCGAGCTTCGTGCCGAGCCTCCAGGTCCGGCGATCGCCGAGCCTCGGTGGCTGGCCGTGCCGGCCGCACTGATAATGGAGGATCGGCGAAGCTCCCGGTGTACATCAGTGAGAGAGAGTGTGCCTTCCAGCAGCCCCTCTGCGTCCACCACCATGGCACAGTCTGAACGGCCTTCTAGGAGAGCCAGCACAGCTTCTCTCACAGTGGCGTCTGCTCGAACCGACACAAATGTGGTGCTCATTGCTGCAGCCACCTGTGAGGGTGGGGAGGGGGGTGCAGGGATGGAGGGCGGGAGGGAGGGAAAGTGAAGAGGAGGGGAGGGAGGCAGGGAACGAATGGGTGCTAGCCCAATCTGCCTTCCAGCAGCCCCTCTGCATCCACCACCATGGCACAGTCTGAGCGGCCTTCTAGGAGAGCCAGCACGGCTTCCCTCACTGTGGCGTCTGCTCGTACTGACACAAATGTGGTGCTCATTGCTGCAGCCACCTGGGAGGGTGGGGGAAGGGAGGGCAGGGAAGGGAGGAAGGAAAACGAAGGGTGTTAGCCCACAAGAGAGGCAGGAAGAAAGAGGGCCTTCCAGCAGCCCCTCTGCATCCACCACCATGGCACAGTCTGAACGGCCTTCTAGGAGGGCCAGCACGGCTTCTCTCACTGTGGCGTCTGCTCGAACCGACACAAATGTGGTGCTCATTTCTGCAGCCACCTGTGAGGGTGGGGAGGGGGGTGCAGGGATGGAGGGCGGGAGGGAGGGAAGGGGAAGAGGAGGGGAGGGAGGAGGGGAACGAATGGGTGCTAGCCCAATCTGCCTTCCAGCAGCCCCACTGCATCCACCACCATGGCACAGTCTGAACGGCCTTCTAGGAGAGCCAGCACGGCTTCTCTTACTGTTGCATCGGCTCGTACTGATACGAAGGTGGTGCTCATTGCTGCAGCCACCTGGGGGTGGGGAAGGTGGTGGAGGAGGAAGAAGGGAGGTGAACGAATGCGTGTGAAAAGACGGCTTCTCTCCCAGTGAGAGGAGGATCTGTGAAGCTCCGTCCCGGTGCACATCAGTGAGAGAGAGCGTGCCTTCCAGCAGCCCCTCTGCGTCCACCACCATGGCACAGTCTGAACGGCCTTCTAGGAGAGCCAGCACGGCTTCTCTCACAGTGGCGTCTGCTCGCACCGACACAAAGGTGGTGCTCATTGCTGCAGCCACCTGGGGGTGGGGAAGGTGGTGGAGGAGGAAGAAGGTGGTGCTCATTGCAGCAGCCGCTTGAACCGAGACGAAGGTGGTGCTCATTGCAGCAGCCACCTGGGGAAGGGGAGGGGGGTGGGTAGGGGAACGGGTAGGGGTCAGGGCAAAAGGGAAGACAGAGTGAGTGCCTTCCAGCAGCCCCTCTGCATCCACCACCATGGCACAGTCTGCGCAGCCCTCCAAGAGAGCGAGCACGGCTTCTCTCACAGTGGCGTCTGCTCGTACTGACACGAAGGTGGTGCTCATTGCTGCAGCCACCTGCGGGAGAGGTGGGCAGATGAGGGGAGCAGGGGAGTAAGGGATCAAGTGATGGAGGTTTGTCTGCCTGCACGGACACAACTACACCCCTACAGCATACCTGCCAACCGCACTCAACTCCCGTATTTCCCAATGCACCCCATGTGCTCACCTTGAGTTCGTCCAGCCACCTATCCACACTCAAAGCCACCTCAAACCTTCAACATACCCCTCAACCGCACTTAACTCCTCATCCCACCCTCCAGCATGCACCCCTTGCGCTCACCTTTAGTTCGTCCAGCAGTCTATCCACACTCAAAGCCGCCTCCACACCCCCTGCAAACCCCTCCACCGCACACAACTCCATTTCCTCCGCACCACTCCCACCACCAGTACTGCTGCTGCCACTCCCCCTATGCCACGAAATAGACGAAGACGCCCGAAGCTGCGTCGGGGACAGCGGCGGCCCCCCGAAATGAGTCGAGTGGTGGTGCTCATGCAGAAGGGATAGATTCTGCTGGTGAGAGGCATGGCCGTTCATGGCAGTGCCCAGGGGTGAGTAGAGCGTGAGGGCTGAGTCGCCGTGCCCGCCAGCTGCAGCAAAGGCTGCGGCAGAGCCGGGGGCGAGCTTGGTGTGTGAGAGAACGGGCTTCTTGCGGTTGGCCACTGAGGAGACCCAGTAGGCCAGACCCACTGCACCCTGTGAGCGGGGAGAGAAATGGGTAGGGGGAAGATAGGGAGACAGGAAGAAAGAGGTGAGAGGCATGGCCTTCATGGCAGTGCCGAGGGGTGAGTAGAGCGTGAGGGCTGAGTAGCACGTGCCCGCCTGCAGCAGCAAAGGCAACGGCAGAGCCGGGGGCGAGCTTGGCGTGCGAGAGAACGGGCTTCTTGCAATTGGCCACTGAGGACACCCAGTAGGCCGACCCACTGCGCCCTGTGCACGGTAGAGGGAGGGAGGGAGGTAAGGAGGGGGAAGGAGAAGGGAAGAAGGCCGGGAAGAGAAGGTTTGAGGAGACAGGGTAATGGAGAGCAGGGCAGAAGCACCAGGGGGGAGCTTGGGTAGAGAGTGAGGGCTGAGGTGCTGTGACTACCGAGACTGCATGGAATGGAGCAACACTCGTACCATGCGAGGAAGCAGGATACGGTAGTCCTTGGTGAGCTGTCATCCGGAGTCAGCATGAAAGGAAGGAAAAAGGACGCGTACCATGAGCGGCAGCAGGATGCGGTAGTCCTTAGTGAGCTCGAAGAGGAGCAAGACGGATGTGAGAGGCACAGAGCACACAGAGGCGAGCATTGCTGCCATGCCCACCTGGTAGAGGGGGGGTGTTACAAGGAATTGGTCGTAGGTAAGCTGAGCAAATGAGAAAGGTGAAGCGGGAAAGAAGGGGGCAACAGGGGTAAATGCCTCGTAAAACTCGAATCATCCAATACCCCATACACACTGGTTTCAGCAATCCATCCATCCATACAAGCAGGTTCTAATATTCCATGCAATCAGGTATTAAATACAGCTACGCCCTCTGACCTCTACTTACCTGAAAACACGCTTGTGGAGCAGCAATCTCCACCACAGCTTTAACAGCCAAGTCAACAGATTATCTCATGCTATCCCCCCATCTCACACATAACATACCACATCACTACCTCTCACCCTAAACAGCTCAAGCATACGCCTGTGGAGCAGCAACCTCAACCCCTCCTTCCTCACCCATACCGCATCACACTCTACCCTTTACTCACCATCAACAACTCACCAGAGCATATGCCTGTGGAGCCGCGACCTCCGCCTTCCCAGGAATGGCAGCCTGGATAGCCGCACCCGCCAGCGACCCATACACCGAGCCTACCGCCGAACCTATGAACAGGCTCGGGGCGTAGATTCCCCCTACCAAGCCCGAGCCTCTGCAGAGAGCCGTGGCAACGATCTTGGCTGCTATCAGCTGAGTCATGAGCTTCGGACCAGGGGCAGAAGCACTCTCTCTCGAATGCAAAATCTCGTTCACGTTACTAAAACCCCAGTACAAGACGCCAGGGTACTGTAGCGCTATGAACCCCACACACAGGCCGCCCAATGCCGGCGTGACAGCTGGCGGGATCCCGAGCCGGTCCCGCAGAAAGTCGAAAAAGGCTGTGGACCACTTGATTAATCGGGTAAATATCACCGAAATAACCCCACAAACCATCCCCAGGAGCAGGTACAGTGGCAACTCAGCAGCAGATTTCAGCTCGTACTCAGGTACAGTAAACGCAGGCTCTTCACCCAGAACGACGTTAGACACTGTAGAGGAGAGCACTGAAGCGAGGATGATCATGGCAGTGGTAAGCGGGGGCGCATTCTCCGAAGCAACCGACTGTAGCACCGTTTCAATGGCAAAAAAACACCCAGCTACAGCCGCATTGAAACCCGACGAAATTCCTGCAGCTGCACCAGCAGCCACCAGTGCTGTTTTCCTCTCGTGAGTGTTCATCAAAATCTCTGCCATTCCATCTGCCCAGGCCTTGCCTATGTCCACACTTGGCCCTTCAGGTCCCAGGGAGGAGCCTGTGCCTAGGGTTACTGCTGCTTGGATGGCTCGAATTACGGGTGTAAAAGCCGCCCCCCAGTCAATTCCCCTTTGCTGCTCCAGACGTAGAGTTGCCCCGCGGCTCTGGCCCTGGGCTTGGGATGGGCTTTGGCTTTGTTCTATGATGCCGCCGAGGGCGTGCAGCATGCCTACAACGACCCCGCCCATAACGGGGATGAGCATGATGCGGTGCCAAGTGGTGGTGATGGGCTGCACACGCAGCCACGCTGCTCCCTCTGCTGGTGTGCCGGCCCATGCTAGGTTGTGAATTCCGTGAACCTGGACAGGTTGAGCAAGGAGACGGGTTGAGAGGAAATAAAACGTGACTATTGAGTCAATGGAAAGCCAACCCGCTCCCCCTGCTGGAGTGCAAACCCGCGCGTGGTTGTGGACTCTGTGAGCCTGGGGGAGGAGTGAGAGGGTTGAAAGGCGAATGACAATCAAACATTACAGAGGAAGGACGGAGTTTGACAGAATTTAAGTAGTTATGTACAGCAGAGCCTACGAAAAGGCGCGTTGTCGAATATTGTAACAAGATGACTTCTGAGGGGACTCAAAAGGAAAACCTACCGCCAAGTTGAAAAGGACGACGCTGGCTCCTGTGGCGAGGCCGAGCGCACATCCAAGCAGCAGCACGGCCCATTCAGGCGGAACCCTCTCGCTGAAATTCATGCTACGCGGCGAAATCAGCGCGGTGGGCGACGCGGGAGACACCATCACTGCAGATTCGATCTTATCCGCAGCCAGTTCCACGTCACCGCCAGCCAATGGGGAGTCGCCGTTGTTCCCCCCCGCGCCGTTGCGCAAAAGCGGTCGGTAGTCGTTGGCGCTCATCCTGCGGGTTACCGCCGTCGCCAGGGCCGCGCGTCAGCCGCGAAATCGGCAGCGCGTTCAAGATCGACGGCTGTGATTAACTCGACCTTCCGACGGAGGCATGTACAGAACAGTTGAACAGGAGGACACAAGGACAAAACTAGTCAGCGGTTTCACTGAGCTGCATCTCAAGCTAACACAAAAGGCGTATTCTGAACGGGACTTTTAGACTGGTTTGCTAGAGTATGTTATCCTGTTTCTTAAAGCAAAGGAAAGATGTAGCAATGGTTACACGCCGTAGATTCTTAGGGTTACAACAAGACGTGGATCCTAAAGATTACGACATGACGAGAATAAACGGCACGGAAGCGAGTAAGGTGTGAGATAGCGAGAGCGAGGCTACGGAAAACGACCGACGACCTCTTTTCCGGATACACACACCACTCGCCGTAGCCAGTACTAGTATCGGAGGGAAAAAACAAGCAAAAAAAAACCAAGGGCAGGCTCTGAAGTAGCAAATCCCGAGGAGCTGCTAATCCCGTCCCGTGAAACTACTACCACAATAAACTTGTGCGAGATTCGGAGAGGCAGGTTTGAACCACGAGCACAGGGAATTCCTGAAAGTGGCTGGAAAGCAGGGCGATCACTGTCAGCCTGAAATGGTGAGGAGTGGAGCAGAGAGCACAGGGAACCAACCACCAAGTCGAGTGGGTTGTTTAGGGTAGATTCTATCTGGCTCAGAGCGGTTTAGAGGAATGTAAGAAAGTTTGTGCGAGGTTATGGAGGAATTGAGCTCTGCCACCCCCATCTCCAAGGTCGAGACAACTTTCTGGGAGCGGGAACCAGCGAAACGGGTTGAACAAAAACACTGTTGAGCCGTTCATTCAGCCCTGTCTGGAAATCTGTCTTGCGATCCAACGGCGCTAACAGCCCCGACTTCAGATGGTTGTTCCAGAGAAAGTCGCTGCCGAAATGACAGGCACGACACTCGTCAGGGAATGGCGAATGCTGAGGCGATATAAGCATTTCGATAACGAGTCAAAAAAATGGTTGTACTCATCTCGAAGTACCTTAAGAGATTACAAAATATGTTCAAGGGTGAAGAAATAATCTGCCCATTTTGAGGATACAAATTATCATATATGCTTCCGTTGAGTTCATTTTTGTTATCATTATAGGACCAAAACATAATTTGAAGTCAAATGTTTTTTTAACTATATCGACATATATATCTCCAAAACGGTTCGACTGGAGTGTGCAATTTTTGCAACGAATCGCCAATGTGCGGCGCGGTGCGCAATTATTGCTCCACCACACATCCCGTGTACCTTGTGCATGGTAATCGCGCACCCGCCAGCTTACATCGACCCCCAAAGAAGACCTCTCCACCTCTCCTGGCCGCTAAAAATACTTTCGTTACCCGGTTTTTTTTGGAACCTCTTCTCCCTCACAACCCAACCACGCGAGGAACGCAACCAGCAGATTCTCTGTTTCATAATTTCGAGGTGCTGTCACCATGATCAGAGCGCTAGCAGACTTGGGTGGCCTAAGTTCCCCAGTAATCACCGCCGCATTCGACGCTATGAGGCCCAAATCGACCCAGGCGCTACGAGAAGCATCACGGGGCGGAACCGCCTCATCTGCTGTCGAGCCGCAACATTACAGCAGAGCCTGCAATCCGTCACTCACGCTTAGCCGCATATTTAACACGGAGGGAGTTGGAAACTACTCATTCACCAGAGCTTCTTCTACCAGTTACAGCATTAAAACCTATTCAGTACAGCCACTCTCAGAGCTTCCTTCCCAGCTAAACTGATAGCAACAGCCAACATCATGGGTACGGCCCAGTATCGGTTTCTGCTCGCGCTCGTCGTGGCGTCTCTGAACTTACTCGCGGTTTTTGCGGCGCTCCCTCCTGATGGGTACTACGAAGCGAGCGAGATTTCCGGTCTCGAGGAAGCATACGACGCGCGCGCGCTCTTCGAGGCCGACAACGAGGCTGCAGTTGACTCCGTTGACTGGGTTGAATCCGACAACTCGGAGGATCCGCGAATCCTGGCGGATGTGGCGGCGGACTTGACTCAGTCGTCAGACGGCGCCAGCGGCAGCCTGAGCGCGAAGAAATCGCCGCTCGCCGGGCAGGCGGGGACGACCGTGCGCGCGGGCCAGTCCGCCGACTCCGCGGCTTCACCCAATGGCAAGTCCATCGCCGCGCGGCACAAGAAGGGGAAGCAGGGGAAGAGGAAGCACTGCGTGCGGCGTAGGAGAGGCAGGTGCGTCAAGTGGGCAGCGACGAAGCATCGTCATACCAGAACGACCAAGAAGACAACCGGCGACCTGAAAACTGCTGACAGGGCATCCGCGAAGCCGAAGGGCGCTGAGAGTGACGTGCCGGCGGTTGGGAAGAAGGGAGCGGCACCCGTCAGCACCTTTGAGTCGACACTAAAGAAGGGGGCGGGAGGTGTCAGCAGCTCGGGCGCCGACAGCAACTCGGGCGCAGCCCCCCAGCCGCGCGCTCTTCTCGAGGCCGACACCGATGCCTCACTTGAAACCGTTGACCCCTTTGACTCGGTTGAATTCGAGGACCCGCGTGTGCTCCGCACGGTGGAGGATTTCGCGGCGGACTTGAAGCGGTCGTCGGATGACCTGAGCGGCGCCGTGAAGGATTCCCTCGGGCAGGCGGGGAGGAACGTGCGCAATTCGTTCGATCGAACGTTCCACACTGGCAGGTTCGCGCCCAAGCGGGGGAGGAAGCACCACGGCGGGAGGAAGCACTCCAGGGGAAGCGCCACTACACCCAACCGGGGCGGAGCTAAGGTCAACCTGGGCGCAGACCCCAAGACTCCCGCTGCCCCCGCTGCTGGCAAGCCTGCCCCTGGGACAAAGCCGGTGAAGGGTAACCTGGGCACCATTCCCAAGACTCCCGCTGCCCCCGCTGCTGGCAAGCCGGCCCCTGGGATGAAGCCGCAGGGAGCAAAAGGCAACTCGGGCGGAGCCCCAAAGCTGCCTGGTGCTCCCGCTGCTGGCACGTCGGGAGGTGGGAATAAGCCGGGGAAGGGCAACTCGGGCGCAGCCCCCAAGCTGCCCACTGCTCCCGCTGCTGGCAAACCGGGCGGAGCCTTCAAGCCCGCCGTTTGGAGGGGTTTCTCTCGGTTCAAGGAGCCTCTTTTATTGAAGTAGGCGGAGCTCTCTCGCGTGGAGGGGGGGATGGGGGGAAGGGGGGTCCGGCAGGGCCCGGGCATGCAGGGAGCAGCGGCGAAGCGGCAAGGGGATGACCCTCCCCTGTGTAGCGAGGGTTGAGAAGAGCCCTTCATTTCTGAACCTTTGGGTGTGTGGGGTTTGTGGTGCCCTTCTTGTGGCGCAGTGTGCATGTGTTTGTGCCCCCATGTATGTGTGTGTGCGTGCATGTGTTTGTGTGTCTGCGTGTGTCTCAGCGTGTGCATGAGCTACGATGTGCTGGTGCAGAGTGAGGGAGCATCAGTGATGTGTGCGTTGAAGGAGGGGGCCGGCATGAGAGGTTGGAGTTGGGAGGGGCGAGAAGGGTCAATAAACAAGCTATTCCATGCAGGGTCAGCCTTTGCCTTCTAGTTGGCTTGGTTTTCTCTTGGAATCCTGTTTCTTGTCTGCTTGCGTTTTGGTGGGCTGTTTATCATTGTGTGATGCATGGGTTATGTTAGTTTTTTTTTGTCTTCTCTTTAACTTTGAACATTTTTCCAAACCAGATTTGGCTGAATATAAATTCTCCCTGCACTAGGAATTTGTAAAAACAGCAGGAAACGATAGAACATGCATACACTACCTTTTCAATTGATTCACTATCTGGAATTTGGTGTAAACAGAAATATATTTGAGTTGCAGTCTCACACTATCTAATACAAGCACCGCGCATGCTGTGTGTGTGAATGCCACTCTCCCCTCAGGGTGCATTCCTGGTTCGTGGCAGGGCCACTGTAGCAGGCACTGTTGGTGGCATGCGGGAAAACCGCATGCCACCAACATTTTGCCCAAGTCGCGCGCGACACGATTTTGGTGGAATTGACATTTTGGGACATTGCCCAATCACGCACCTGTATTTGCGCGCCAAAATTCCTGACACCAACCTGGCGTTTTATGTGTTCGTGGCAGGCTGCCATCTACAGTGGCCCTGCCACGAGCCAGGAATGCACCCTCAGTCAAATCCAGGCTGTTTTTCCAATCCTGCAATTCGCACCCACCCCGAGCCCCTGCTCCTTCCGCCTTCACCCACCATGCACCCCTCCTGCTCGCTTCCTTTTCCCTTTCCACCACCCACCTCTCCGCTTGTCCCAAGCCCAAATTGACCGGCACCAACTTGTTTCAACCCCCAGCCCTCCTCTCGGGACGCCTCAGAATCGATTCCTAAGATTTGATGGAGTTCTACCACTCCCAAATTCTAGGCAGAGGCAACTTCTGGGAGCAGCGAAACGGGAAGAACACAAGTACCGTTGATCCGCATTTGGCCCTCTCTGGAAGGTCTTGTTTTGCAATCCAACGGCGCTAACAGGCCCGAATTCAGATGTTTGTTCCAGAGAATGTAGCCGTGAAAACGACAGGCACACGATACTAGTCAGTGAATGTAGAATGCCGAGGCAATAGAAGCACTTTGAAAAAGGCGGTGGTTAAACTCACGCCAAAGTATATGCAAAATCATAACTTACCAATTGCTCACAGGTACACCCAAGTGTAGGACATAACATGCCATATCTCTTCCTCTAATGATTAAGGTTGTGAACATCTTTTTTCACTCTGTATATAAATAGAATCAGAGCATATTTTGGAGCTAATTTTTACTGACTATCTACATACATATGTCGTGGAAATCATCACAGCTGAAGTGTGCATGTTTTGCAAACGCGATTCGCAATGTGCGGAATGCGGTGCGCAATTATTGCTCGGGCGCATCTCGCGCAGCCAATGGTGATCACGCACTGAAGCACCTTCCAGCTTACATTGATCTCCACAAAAAAACCTCCCCACCGCTAAAACACTCGCAACCTTCCCCA